TCGCTGACTGCCGTGCCGAAAAACCCGGGTTTGAATCCCGGAGAAGGCATGAATGTTTGTAAATGTACAATGTGGGTGCGGCATAACGGCACTCTAAATATGCGGCCAGCCGAAAGTCCTCTCGTGTGGTTTGGTGGAAGGAGAGAGGGGTGGGAGACCCTCTGACCCGTCCCCCATCAGCGGGAAGTGCTGACCATCAGCGGGAAGTGCGTCTAAGTGCTCTCCATCAAAATTGGGGGCGGAATTGAGCTAAATCGCACTGTCACATGAATGGTGTTGAAGCCTGTTGCCAACAACAGGTGTAATCTTGCGCTCCTTGCCACGAGGAATTCCGTGGGCTTGGTCCGACTACATCAGACAAGTGAGCAAATAACAACAACAATAAGGTAAACTTACCAACCAAGGTCAAAGAGTCCCCAGTTAATTGATTCAAGTAGCATTAAGTCTGACGTCATCACGCTGAAAGATAACTCCTTTATGAATGACAAAAGCTGACCACCTATGTATCACTTTGTTCCGACTGTTGGCAGTGCATGTTACTTAGCATTAGTAGTTTGGTTACATGGAAGCAAATGGCTGTAGATTATTTCCTTCATATTCTGCCATACATATAATGAAACATTTTCGGGATTACAATGCAATCCTTTTTCATTTTAAGATTATTTGACTTCACGGAGTAGGCTACCGCTACGTAAGACACAATCCTTCAACGTCTGACAGCATACCCATACCTAGTAGAATGCTCACATTATATCATTATTCTTTGCAATTCGCTTCCAAAAATTGTTCCTTTCTGAAACTAGAAAGCAAGGAAAAATATGTATTGGTTCTCACCTGTTGCTGCTTTTCAAACAGCTGATATGGCACCCATTGATACACTTTTATGCTGAACGCAAGTGCGTGCATACTTCTTTAAACTTCGGTTCTACGTACAAATAGAGTTTCCGCTAATTCATCAACAGTTGCATGGGGGCCATTCGATATGATCCACAATCTGCTCAGAACCTAGTTATGGATGTTCGGAACTTGGTTGATCTTTACAGGTTCTGCCTCAGTAATAAGCCTCGACTCTGGAATTAATTGAACAAGCGAACGCGTGAAACTCGCGACTGTATAAACTGTATAGGAACGATAACGAGAGAATTAGAAAATAAATCCAACTTTAAAGATTTATATACATTTTGAGACTTGGCGATAAGATTAAACGAAATTAAATATTAAATAAATAATATTAAATAAAGGTAGATCAATTATTTTATTGTTTTACTTTACTACGTAACTTAAACTTTATGCAACAATGAGCGGTAAAGTTAACAATGTAAATCAACTCATGAAATTATAAGGTACTCTCTCTCTTCTTTCCGCATGCCTTCGTGGTGTACCCGGAAGCACGCATCATCATAATTCATCGCCGGAAGCACATAATTCATCGCCGCCAGGATTTGGCGATTGGGTCCTCTCACCCCCAATCGGACTTTAAAAGGGAACAAGCATATAAGGTATTTTCTCTCTGCTTTCCGCATGCCTTTGTGATATGCTTGGAAGCATATTCGACGCATATTCGGGATGTCCGAGTTTGTCACGTTCTTGTATCGATATAACTTAATGACTTTGCAAAATTAATCAAAAACTTAAGTGTACACAATGTTTCGGGTAAAACACTGTTAAACATCCATCAGCGGGAAGTGCGTCTAAGTCTCATGCATTTTTATCTCTTCGCCTTTCCTATCATAAAGTCCCTGAATTTCCAAAGCCAGCGACTCAATCAAACTCTACAACAATGTCTGATGTGCTCCTTATCCTTTGCCATTTTAAACCACCTGACTTTTTTTTCACGAATGATTTACTCTTACAAAAATGTTGCCTTCGCGACGCGTTTTACTCTTACAAAATGCTTGTAAGAGTAAGACGTGATTTACTCTTACGAAATGTTACTCTTTGCCGAAGCGTTTTATTGGCTCAAAATTCCAGTCGCCACAGTATCATCTATGATGTCAAATCTACTATTTTGATATCGCATCTACCATTTTAAGATACTCATTCCATTCGATAATACATTTTAAAAGGCGATTTCAGAATGCTCGCCTGTACGAAATTTCAAAACATTCCACGAAAATCTGAAATAAAAAGAAAAACAGTCAAAGCGAAAGTAAACTACGTGAATGGAAATCTGAAATAAAAAGAAAAACAGTCAAAGCGAAAGTAAATTATGTGAATGGAAATCTGAAATAAAAAGAAAAACAGTCAAAGCGAAAGTAAACTACGTGAATGGAAATCTGAAATAAAAAGAAAAACAGTCAAAGCGAAAGTAAACTACGTGAATGGAAATCTGAAATAAAAAGAAAAACAGTCAAAGCGAAAGTAAACTACGTGAATGGAACTAAAACTAAGTCGAAAACTGTTGGAAGTGGAAAGGGGAGAAGAACGACAACAAGCACCCGAAGCAATGCCAGAAAAATTCGATAATGGGTTTAAGCAGGGAATGGTAAACATCTGGAAACAACTTGTATGCCCGCAAATTAAAATATTTCTATACATTTTAAAAATCTCGAGGCTCGACAAAGATATGTGGTCAGATTTCGATTTAATTTCATTGTGTGAAGTTTCAACTGAACTCCATTCCGAAAATTAGCAGCTATTTTTAAAGGTGTTCAGAGACCCGATTATATAATACTTTCAATACACTTAAACATAGACCAATCATTAAATTGTTAAATATAATGCTTTTTCCTTTTTAGAGGAAAATTATTACTCTGCTGGTTGTAAATTTGCTTATTATAATTAAAATAATTAGGACAGTGCATTGAATCTTTTGAAAGAAGCTTTAAGTTACGGGAAGATGGCACGAGTCTTTTCAACTCAACAAGTGCTCTATATTTTAGGTTTCCCTAGAGAACACAGAAATGTTTTTCTACCAACAACAGAAATAAAGATAACAGTTTTCGAAATACTCTACAAAAAAAAAGAGATGGGGTCAATGGGGACGAACGTATTTTCCAGAAAATTAGTTTAAAGTCATTTTTAGAGGGGCCAGGTGTGGGGAGAGAACACTATGGCATTTTTTCGGTGAGTAAACAATGGAGCAAAATGTCAGCCATCCATGAAAAGATTGACTTGTTCTTTTTCTAGCAACGAATGCAGCAGAGCCTAACTGCAAACGTTTCTCATTTATGTATTCATTTTAAACTCAAGTGCTTATAAATGAACCCGAAGTTTATAATGATAAGCATTATTTTAAATCCCTCCACATCAGTTAAATATAAACTTTAAAAAAATTATGAACGCCAATTAAAAGCTAAAAACACTCTAGGCTATGAGAATAAAATCAAGATATTAGGTTTTCAGGAAATAATGATAGCAAAGTTAAATTGAATATGACAAAGCACACGAAGGCTCTCTGCCTAACACTGCCTCTTGAATCTCTTGAATCTAAAACTCGTTCCCTCTTAGACACCATTACCCAGATAAACACCAAAGAAGATGCTAATAAATGTGCACTATTTCTCACTCAAACTATTCAAGATTGTTGTCATGCCTCACTAAAACTAAAAACTCTTACCAACGCCACTAATATCAACTGGTGGACCAAGGATCTAACGGCTGCTCGCCAAAAGACCAGGGCTTTACGAAGAAGACTAAAGACGCGCACAAACAATGACGACAGAATAATTGCTTGGACTGAATATAATAGACAAAGGCACTATACAAAAAGCAAATCTTAGAGGTCAAACTAAAATCATGGAATGCTTATTGCACCCGCAATACTGATGCGCACGGCACACTTTATAAAATGGCAACTTCTAAGATCTTTCAGCCAACGCTGCTTCATGCCCCAGCCAATGCTCAGTCGTCTTACGATAATAACATCACTATTAACACCTTTTTGGATCACGTCTTTCTTCCGGACACACCGATCAAGACACCCTCACACAACAGGAAATAAGAATGTCAGCTGAATATCCCAACTCAAACGACGATGTACCTTGCACAAAGAATGAATTGCTACATATAGTCAAAGCACTGGACAATAAAAAGGCACCGGGCCCAGATGGTATTCCCAACAAAATACTAAAACTCATATGCCAAACTTATATGCCTTCTATCCTTCTGAACATTTTAATAATAAATGTCTTAAACTCCGCTGTTTCCAGGATTGCTATAAACAAGGACAGATTATCCTGTTTTCAAAAAAAGAACTAAAATCAAGAGGACCCTTACCCGTACCGTTCCATAAACCTATTACCAGTCATGGGAAAACTCTTGGAAAGATTGCTGATCAATAGAATCAAACATCGCGTATACAAAGACAACAAAATCAGTATGCATCAATATGGCTTTAAGCCTAAGAACTCAACTATCCACGCACTCGATGCTGCACTCTCCCAAATTCATAGCAATAAAAGCAACCAAATGCACTCAGCCCTTCTGTGCCTGGATTTAAAGAATGTATTCGACTCTCTCTGGTGGCAAGCTGTACGGCAAGCCCTCAGGGAGATGCAATGCCGAAGAAATCTATACCTCTTGACAACCGACGACCTAGAAAATAGAATCAGCCTAATTGTTCATAACAACACTGTAATCTCCAGAAAGCAAGAAAGAGGTGTCCTCAGGGGTCATGTATGAGCGCCGACCTCTGGAACATTACCTTCAATAGTATCATTGATCACAACTGGCCAAGCCACACCAGAATTGTCGCCTTTGCTGACGATGTAGCGTTCATTGTACAGGGCAGCACGCGAAACCAGCTTCAGGATAACTGAAACACCACGCTCAGCTTATTTAATGACCTCTGCAATAGTTTAAAGCTAGAAATTTTACACGTCGAATCCCAAGCACTAATTTTTCATAAACCTAGACCAACATTAACAAGGAATCCTATCCTGCGAATTGTCCAAAATAGATTAAAATGCGTCAAAAGTATTAAATATCTTGGTCTAATTAGAGATAAAAAATTTACCTGCATACCTCATCTCCAAGATAAAAAATTAACAACCCTCAAAATGGCACACGCACTAAGGTCAATGAGAGGTTACTCCTGGAGCCTCAACTACCATATTATGAAAATGCTGTTGACAACAGTCGTAAATAAGATCATCACGTACGGGGATGCAAACTGGGCGTTGCCAATGACGGCCAGGAAAGTTCGCACTCTCAATTCCATCCAGCGTCCATTCTTAACAACCTCCACCAACGCCCTACAAGTTCTGTCGGGTGTGACTCCTTTGCCACTTCAAGCTGAAATTGAAGCACTGTTCTCCAAAGTTCTTCATCTGAAGAAATCTGCCAGCTACGATGATATCATCTTCAATCCACAAGACTACGAGGATACACCACAGAAATACATTAGACACCCGAGTAACTTTCTTCATAACCTGCACTGCAACCTCAACAACCCTCCGCCATCTACTAAATTCACAGCATATACTGATGGATCGAAGATAGAGGACAAAGTAGGCTGCGGAGTCAATATAAATTCCGGGTTAAGTACCTACACTGAATGGCAAGGTGTCTTCAGCAGCGTATTCCAAGCTGAGCTTACAGCCATTCTGAATGCTGTCAAACTACTTCTACCAACACATACGGACACCATTCATGTGATTACTGATAGCCAATCATCTATCTGTGCCATCAAACAACAGTTACCAAACTCACCAATTGCATATCTAATTCAGGATTTAATACTCAACAGCAACAACAAATTTATAATATCATGGACTAGAGGTCAAAGCGCTTGTGCAGGAAATGAACACGCTGACTTCTTAGCAAAAGACGCAGCTATCCACCAAATGGGCACTCCAATCTCTATCCCGTAGCCAAAGTCAGCACTGAAATACAAGCTGAAACAACTTGCAAATGCACAATGGCAACACCCATAGGACCACGGACAACAAGGAAGACGAACATATGAATTCCTCCCTAAAGTAGATGAAAACATCACTTTTTCATCCTACTTCCTTTCCCAGTGCACCTCGGGCCACGGCCCATTTCCACTCTACTTCTAGAACAGACACAAAGTTGCCTCTGACTGATGTATCTGCGGAAGCAACGGAGACCCAGAGCACTACATCTTCAACTGTCCAATGACGTCTGTTCACCATATCCGTCACCCAGGCAACCCAGGTCTAGTATTCAGGCGATTTCTAATCAAGCACAGAAAAACATTTAGTCAGATAAAGAACATCATTGACTACCTCCGCAGACAAGAACTCAATATGTGCCACCCTTAATCTTCAATCCTCTCATTCTGCAATAATTTCAGAGTACCATTGTTATCTCCACCAAACACACACTTCTGACGTGCCTTCAGTCTTCATTCATATCTGTGCCTTACCTCCATACCATGATATTGTATCTATTTATTATTACGAACTTTATCGTATCTCACCTACCTATGAACATTACCATCACCAAATGTAACAATATGCAGCTATGTATATCCAAATGTATAACATCTGTATGATTGCATGTCACCTTGTTTAATTCTCAATACATACGGAAAGGTAGTACATCGGGACTATTTTTGCTCATAGCGATGATATAATGCCCCTGTACTTGTTCCTGTCCTGTCCAGCCTAACACTGCCGACAATCTAGCAAACGAAGCAGCTTTTTCCCAACAACGCGAGTTTCTCAACATTAAGCTTCAAAATCGCAGCTACGGCAAATCCTAAACAAGCATCTACGAGTGGTAAGTTGAGTGGAATAACAGCACAGCAGACCGGTACACCCACCAGTTCTTCCCCAAAATCAGCACAGAAATCAGAGGCTCTTAAGTCTTTTCTAACGTATTACCTCCCCGCTCATAGCCAATAACCAGATTATTTTCTAAAAATGAACTTCTCCAATAGCCACAATTGCCTCTGTGTAGTCAAAGGAGATGTAGACCATTACCTCCTCTTCTGGACTCTTATTAAGGGCCGTTCCCACTGAGGTTTGTCTGAGCTAACGGAGTCAGTTCCATGCGTCGACTAGCTTCCCTATGCCTGCAGTTCAGATTTTTCAATTTGCTGCCCTATGGGAAAAACTGGTTTTGGATCGGCTACGTCAGTTGTCTCCGTTAGTTCAGATAAACCCCAGTGGGAACAAGTGACAAGTGACGGTCGTTTACAAGTGACCTGCATATCCGGAAACTCACTAGTCTAGACCTTAACTTCAAAAGACTGGTAATATCTCAAGCCACCTATCTCCCCAAATCATAAAAATACACCAAAGCCTAATTAATGGCGGAGCACATAATAAATAAACTAAAAAAACTTATTTGTTACATTTTGTTGTTAAAAATTAGAATTGGTGCCTCCCTCCCGTTTACCGAATGCCGCTGTGTCTCGCCGAGAATTAATTCCTGCTGACTCTGTGAAAGACCAAAATATAGATAAGTAGTCGTATTGTTGGTAAATAATTTACGAGTTTAGAGGTAATGTAGATAGACAAGATGTTTAGTTTTTCAACAGAGGATTTTTTTATATGTATTATATACACAGGGTGTCCCGTAAATGTTGCGACAAACTTCTGGGAGGGAGGTAGGGCACGTCACAAGGATCAAAAATTGCATAGGAACTCATGCCCGGAAATATCAGGGGTAAGTGGTAGCAGAGGTAGAAGATGGAGAAAGAAACAAGAGTGATTAATTTGAAACATTTATTGGACATGAAAAGAGATAGCGTACGACAGCTTGAATGTTACAACAGATGCTCGAAGTTTGCACCATCAGACGCGAAACATACCTGATACCGACGGACCATTGATTGCCGGGACATGTTCAAACACACCGGGAGTTTCCTTGATTGTAGCAGCTGCTCAGGCGAGTCTCGCTACGGGATCCATTTCAGGCACAACAGGATCGTGATAAGCGACACTTTTGATGGCTTCCCACAAAAAGAAATCAAGGTTCGATAAATCCGGTGAGCGTGGGGGCCAGGGAACTGGTCCACCACCACGCCCTACCCATCGATGAGAGAATAATCTGTTCAAATGGCTACGAACATCCAGTCCAAAATGAGTCCACTTCTTAATGACCCGTAGTCGCACAATTTTGATGCAGGCGTGCAAACAAACTAGGGTATGGTTGATGTCTGTCGGGGAAGTGTTCTCGATAAACACGTCCATTACCCTCAGCTATTCCATACACTAAGTGCATTTCTGCAAGTTGGTGGTTCGTATAGCTTTCCATGCTCCTTGTATGGTACCTACTGCTCGAATGTGACAATCCTCACTTTCCACTAGCACCCTGTACAGCCCTCCTGGGGCTGTACAGGAGCCAGAAACGTACAATGACGTTTCTGGGCATGGGTACCTATGCAATTCTCAATCCTTATAATGTGCCCTACCTTCCCCAGAACAGGGCTTACCCGGCCCTTATTTTTCAATCGTTGTTCTTAGTCGTATTTACAAAAGTGTTTTCGAAGTACAGAAGATACTAAAAATGTCAATTTAAAAAAAAAAAAAAAAAAAAATTCTACAAAATAACGAAATTTAGCTTTTAATAATTTTTTCATGTATTTATATTTGGAAAAGTTTTATACTTGTTATGAAAAAAATATACAGTAAGAACCCGCTTAACGCGGGGGATACGTTCCATCGAAGTAGAGCGTAATGCGAAACAGCCCTAAGCGAGGCTATCTTAACATGTAAATAATGGGGTTAGGGGAAGACGGATAAAAAATGGTTAGGCATTAAATTTAATAATGTTTTTTTAATAAAAATAAAATCAAACATTTATTTCTTACAAAAAAAAAAACATATAAAACGCATATACTTTTAAAAACAAATAAAATTCTCAGTCAGATCATTCAGTCTATTCTGGGTTTCCAATTTTCTGCCTTTTTGTCAAGAAGGCATTATGATAGATTGGCTTAATGGCATATTGCGTTCAATTTCGTCGTCAATCCATATAGACAAGTCGTTTTTCCATTCCCTCTATAATGTTTATTTCTAGAACGAGTAATTCTAGTTGCAGAGCTTGACGTAGTTGCAGTTGCCGATGACAGTTATTTTTTCTTTATTCTTAAGAATTGTCCTTATTGTTGAAGTTGCCAAAATTCAATGCAGCACTAATTTGAGATTGACGTTCACCAGAATCTAATCTTCTAATCACTTGCATTTGAGTTTCCAGTGAAATGCTTTTTCTGGGTTGCTTTCTTTTCTTGTTTTTTATTATCACCCATGATGAAAACTAAAGATCATAATATTTGTCACTGTATTAATCGTTATAGTATTATATAAATTTATAACGTTACAATAATGTCAACAAATGTTTCAAATGATAAAAATGCGTCCACCAAGCAAGAAACACAAACTAACACTGTTTCGGATATGTTATTTGGAAACCTAGCGCTGCTCACAATTTCGGAGAATCCCCGGGTTGAAATAAAAGAGCGCTAAACCGAAACAGCGCTAAACGAAACAGCGTTAAGCGGGGTCTTACTGTAATTGTCAGAAGTTCGACTCCCGTACGACAAAAATTGACCGGAATATTTAATTTAAAAAATTTGCAATTTTTGATGTCAATTTCAACTTGCCTTGAGGAATCGGTTAATTAATTTAGCATAGTTTGAGGAAATGTGTTTATATGAAAAGCAGCAAAAAAATGCGTATAATTTAATAGGCTGTACATGACGTCATGTGGTGTGCACATCGGCCTTCCTTTTTTTGTTTGTGTGTGTGTGTGTATGTAAGCAATTTTGCAGTTGCCCAAAAAAAGGGGAGGATGATAAAAAAATGAGAAACCTATATGTATAACTTTTGAAACACCACATAAGAATCGATTTAAATCTGACGTTATCAATCCAAAGTTTTAAAATATTTTACTTGCTGGTTTTTTCGTTCATATATAGCTCGAAAAATTAAATTTTGATCTAAACATATTATTAAATGTTTCTGAAAATGAACAATAAGGCATCCAACAATGTTTCCTTAATTTCTTACCTTATATGCAACTTAATTTTACGCAAAGCATTTCGGGGGAAAAAAAATTACAGAAGTTTCAACAATATCTCGTAAAAGCGACATCGCTTCTAAAAATAACACTTCGAAAATTACTTTTCTTATTAAACCTGCATTTCTGAAACTGTTTTGAATTCTCTACATAAACATTTTTTTAAAAAATCATTTTAAATTCCTTTTTGAAGTTGAAAGCAAAAGAAGATCTAAAAATTTAATAATATCGTGCTTGAATGAGACGTTTTTCCAGTTTTGTGTTTAAAATAGAAGTACAGAAACTTTTCTTTCAAAAGGTAAAAAGTCTCAAAAGTATGATTTGCAAATGACTTCCTATTTTAAATTAAAGTTTCAACGATTTGAGCTAAAATGAGATTAGGGGGAAATGCTTTTATGATGCTAATTATATGCCAAATGTAGCACAAAAGGCATTGAAGTTGCTATCTTAAGTACTGTATGCGGGGAACTATGTGGAAACTATTTCCTTTCTTACTCTTCAATTGTAATAATTTCAGAGTTCTTTTTGCTGACGAATGGTATGTAATAAACTTCAGCGATTCAAAGATGTGTATTTGAAAGTTTTTTTGCGATCAACAAGCAGTTTTTAGAAATGCAATGAATAGAAGTTTTTCTTCTTTGAATAAGAAATTATTTCTGAAAAGAATTATTTTCCTTTATAAATCTTTAAATGCAAGCAATTTGTTGCTTTTCATGAATTCTCGCTGAATGTTAAATTAAAACTTTTGTATGCAATTTAGCATTTATACGTAGAATAATATTATACTCGAAAATAAAAACTTATGAAGTTATAAAGTTGGATGATATTAAAGTCATTTCACGGGGATTTGTATCCGAATTCCATAAATAGATATTAAATT